TCATGAGTACCTGTGGATACTAAAAAACAAACAAACAAACAAACAAAAAACACGGTTGGAAAGGAATCTTCTAACAAAATAAGAATCCAAACACATCACAAGACTTTCCATAGGACAAAAAGTACTACCTCACCAAACTGTATGACTTGAATCCAGAAAAATAATGATAATAATAAAAACCTTAGAGAAGAAGGTAGAACAACAGATCCCTTTCTGTTTTTTACAGCTAAAAAATGCTTCTGTGGGATGGCAGAACTTCTTTCCAGAAACTGTGAGCAACATTAGTGTTCTCCATGCAAAAGAAGACTGGGTCTAAATTATAACATCGTGGCATATTAAATTATTGGGGGAAAAAAAAAAAGAATTGGAGTAATGAAAGATATGCTAACTGAGTGGCAAAAAACCCTGTTTGAAGTCATGTAAGTAATAGTTCACATGGGTGTACTGACTCCTGTTTCTTATTGTAATACAAGTGTTCAAATCCAAATCCAGATATTCGCCATTAAATGGATATAAAAATACTTTTGTAAGTAAGAACATTATTGCACATGTCACTTAATATCTGTCTCGTTTATTTTTCACAGGAAGGCTAAGATGGATAAGAAAGGTGACACATTTCTACCATGTCATTTTCCTGCCCTACATCCATCGTCCAATTCCGGGTCTATTTGTGACCATATTTCAATACCACTGTTGCCTATGGTTATACAATCATGTGTCATGTGTCTAAAAAACTCAATGAAACACAAAATGATGAATAGCAGAAGGGAAAAAAATATTGATAGCTTGGCCAAAGAGAGCAGAGTGATGTAAGAGTTTCCGATGTGGACAATAAAAGCCTTTAGAGCCGTTTTTCATAATCATGTCTGGGATATCGTTTGAGCTTTCTGTAAATGGTTCATTAAAAAGCATCGGAAGCACAAGAAGATCACAAGAGATCACAAGAGTATTCTGGGTTTCCTAAAGGATGTACTATAAATCAAGATTAATGCTTTAGCAAGCTATGTCACAGAAGTGGCTAGCTAAATCACTGTGGTAACTTACTTACCACATGTTTTGAAGCACTGTATAGAGTCGATGTTGGAAAAACACATTTTATATAGGCAGTTGTCAAGTTGTACATGAGCTTTTCAAGTTCAAGCTGTGCAAACTGTGCATTGCATTGTAACTGGAATTTGCATGTATTCAGTTAGAGGCACAGAAAATGTATAGATGGTTTTATACTTGGTTCTAATCTGCTGCCAAGTCTGCCTTACACTGCTTGAATTGGAACTACTAGAACACAGACTAAAAAAATCAATCAGACCATTCAATCAATAAAATAAATTTCACTCTGAGCTGGCAGAGTCATTTCCATGACTCTGTTATTAAGCTATGAGGCAGTAACCTTTAATGTTTAAATGTATCCAGGTTAAAGTTTCAGAGCTCTAATGTGCAGCAGTCATGTAAGCTATCATCAATAGGTTAACATGCAGCTTGTCCTTTTTTTCAAAAGTGTTGCAATTTTTGTTATATTTTTGTATACTTTTGTGGTCTTTATAGATTTTTATCATTATCATCTGATAATGACTGAATAGAGTGGGTACACTCACAGGGATCATTTTGTCCAGAAGAAGAGTGTTTTTATTTCAGTGTGCAAAGATTCTGAAGCAGAAGGCCCAGCTTAACAGGGAAAGTTGATAACCGCTGTAGTAATACCCCTTTCTCTAACTGGAGTTTAGGTTTTGTCAAGCCAGCTTATACAAAGCAAGCGTGGCTGTGTTGAATTTGCTTCATTAGTATACTCTTTAGGTCCTGAGTGTAACTAGTGGTTTGCACCTTTTTCATTGGTGAAGATTGTTGATTATGATAATTATACACCTATCTCCTCAAGAAAGTTCTTGACTTTGCTAGATGTTGTGAAGGGTTTTCCTTACCAAGGAATGTAAGAATACCAGGCTGTTGATTCGGCCACTCCAAAAGGTTTTGCTCTCTCTCTCTGATAGGTTTATTTTGGATCCCAGCTAAGATACTGCGCAGGACCCTCAAGCTCCCAGGCCTCTGGTAGAGGACCCGAGCTTGAAGGATAAACCGCCCGCAGGGGCGTGCTGGGTGTTTTTTTTTTTTTTTTTTATATATATATATATATAAATTCTTTCTTCTAAGACCAACATGAGGTTCACATGTTTGAGTTCCCCTAACTTTCATAATGCCCCAAGGATACAAACCCAAAGTCCCTTTCATGTAGTACCATCAACATTTTAATTAGTCCACTACTTTGTTCTATGCTAAAATGTTTTAAAATGGAAACATAAACTGAGAGCCTCAACTATGCTTTGTGCTTCGTTTTAATTTGTTAGCATGCTAACGTGCTAAGTCAAAATGATAAATATAATAAATATAAGGTGAACAGAACTGCTAGCATGAGCGTGAGCTTTGTTTTGGAAGTTACTGATACTGATGCTCCTCACTCAGTTTTTGAAAGTTTGACCAAAAAACTACAGATAATTACATTTTGATAAAATGACTTTGGCTCATAGAGATTTAAATAAAACAAACAAACAAACAAACAAACAAACAAACAAACAAACAAACAAACAAACAAACAAAACAAAACCCAGCATTGCAGTGTTTTGTTTTGCACAATAGGATATATTACAAATACTCTTGAAATGCATTGAAGGGAAATCTGAACACGTCTCTCTCTGTATGTCTTTTTTTGCCATGCCTCTCCATATTAGAGAGAAACATAAGCACACAAACACACAGTGGCAGAGAGAAGGAGAGAAAGCCTGCTACTGTGTGTTAGCTAATGTTACCAACTTCAGGAAGTCAAGCAGAAAAGTAGACATGACACGAACCGATTCGCCCGCCGCCCTTTGCCTCACTGCACATCGGTCAAAGATTTCAGAGGCAGAAAATTCCATGCAAACAAAATGTGCATCCTAAATGCACTCTAAAGTCATATAACCTTAAAGTGTTACATTTTTAAATGTACCATTTTCTTCATGCAAGTTTCATTGTGCAGGCATGTAAGGCATGGTAGAAGGTGAACATTTTGTTCAAATATTGTTTAATACAAAATTGGTTTAATACAAAAAAATCAATGCATCTATTAGTGAGAAGTTTAATGATGTAATACATTTGGCCACAAGCAACTACTCAGCAATATTTTTCTAGATACTGACAGCAAATGTTTGGATGCATTTTTTTTAAATTTTCAATGAGTTTGACAGTTGAAATTAATATACAAAATATTTTGTTAATAGTGACTAATCTCTTATTGTCCTATGATTGTTATGTTATGCTATTTCTTAGATAGAAACCAAACTGGTAAAAAAAAAAAAAAAAAAAAATCACATTAAAGGTTCAGTAATAATTGCTATCTAAGTTAGTCACTTGTATGTAATTCCTACCAACAGATGTAAGAAAGAGCAGTTTTATTAACCTCAGCATGTGAGGGTGCTTATTCAGCACTCTTTCATCGGTTGGATCATAAAATGTATTTCTCTACTTTTCTTATGTGTTTGTAAATTGGTTCGCTTTTCAGAAACCAGATGTTGCACTTACACTTTCACAGTATTCTTTATATTCAACATACGGTTATAGCATCATTTTTCATTTTTTTTTAAATTGTTAATTTCTTTATTTATTTAATTATTATGAATTAATTATTTTTATCATACAGCACAAAATGTCAATTCAATAACAATGACATAAAAATTAGGATTGTGAAATATCATTTTAGGTCTGGTGTCATATGAATACTGGTGCTGAAACCACATCTTCAATACTATCTGACAATGAAAATATGCAAATACTGCTGATGTGGATAAAACCTGGGCCTGCTATAAATCATCAAAGTAAAAAAGTAACTGATAAACTCTGATAAAAATAAAGATATGGCATTTTATTGTTAATATTTTCTTCTATTCTGTCACGGTTTGCCGGGGCAAGCCGTGTGGAATTATTTAGGACCAGGACGCGGCAGCTATGGTGCAGGTGAGTATTTATTAACGAAGGAAATACAAACAACAAAGGCACTGGGAACATGAAACTGGAACCTAAACTGGGTAAAACTAACAAAACAAACCAGAAACGAAGATGCAGGGAGGTCCGGGGAAATACACATGGAGAGATGCAGGGAGACCGAGGGGAAACAACACAGACGAACCAGCAACTAACAGAGGCAGACACGAGGTTAAAATACACAGAAGGATAACGAGGGGATGAGACACAAAAGGAGGGCACAGCTGGGAGTAATCCGACCTGACGAGACAGGGGAAAAGTAAACTGAACACACTGAGAACAGACACGGACCTTCAAAGTAAAACAGGAAACACATACACGTAATGACATAACACACCAACTTAACACAGACTGGGGGACACAGAACATAGGAACATGAACCATGAAACAGAAGAGTACAAACACCCAAGGTAACCAAAACCACAGAATAATAATAAACTAAACACGGAGTCACAGACTCCATGACATATTCTATCTTTTTGTTCTTGTTTTGTTTTGACAGTAAATGTACAGGAAAAAGTTACTACAGTGGCATTTCTTTGCTGCACTTATTTTTTCTTAAGACATGTACTTAAATGTCTTTAACTAAAAGTGGGTTTTTTTAACCTTGTTTTATTTAGATTGAACATGTTTGACACCACAGCTGGGATAGGCCCCAGCGCCACCCGTGACCCTGAAAAGGACAAGAGGAAGCGAATGAAGGGATGGATGTTTGACACCCCCACATCCTTTTGCCATTGATGTGTTTCAGTTGTTTATTAGAAATAAAGTAATGGATTTAAATAGTTATAAATGTGGAAATTGTTCATTGCTGAACAATTTGTGTGTGTGTGTGTGTGTGTGTGTGTGTGTGTGTGTGTGTGTGTGTGTGTGTGTGTGTGTGTGTGTGGCTGTTTAAGTATTTTATCAAATTAAAAACTCTCATCATAAGCAAGAATCCATTTAATTTCAACTTGTCTTGTCCTTGAAGAAATATAAATGTGTGAACATACCTTGTTATTTGTGACCTTGTAGTGAAATCCAGGGATCTCATCGACCTCAGGACTTCTATACAGCCCAGATACTGCAAAGTAAGAATGAAAACCCTGTGTGAAATAAACAAAGACTACACATCATTATGCACAAAACAAATCTTTGTGTTACCTTTCAAGGCCTAAAAAAATAAAATAAAATTACTGCAGTCTTTAAGAGCATACAAAATCACCACACACACAAGTTTTGACACTAGGGCCTTGTTCTAGAAAGGAAAGAAATGGACCCATTGTTTAACATCAGGCATGATACAGTTATTAAAACTTGTGACGCATGCATGACTTTCAAAAGCAGCGGGGCCATTTAAGTCAAGTTATTGTTACCTACTCTGAAAAAAAACTATATTAAGTTTGAGATGAAGAGATTGTATTTGTTTGGAAAGGAAATAAAATATTGAGTTTCTCTAACTTTTTAAACGCTCACTTGCCAGTTCAATAGCTATATGTTGCTAACTCCTGGTAGGACCACCTTTTGGTCTCAGAACTGTCTTAATTCTTTGAGGAATAGACTCAGTGAGGGGCTGAAAACATTCCTCAGAGGTGGCAGGAGGCTATTCCAGCAATCATAGAGTGAGGGGCAGGGTACACCCTGGACAGGTCACCAATCTGTCGCTGTACTCCATCTAAATATTGCAGCAGAAACAGAGACAAAAGTTTCCCAATCTTCTGTTGTCCGATTTTAATGTCAGTGTTAACTGTAGCCTCAGTTATTTGTTTTTAACTGACAGCTGTGGCACCCAGTGTGGTCTTCTGCTATTCAGATATGCTCTTCTGCATACTTTGGCTGTAACAAAGGGTTATTTGAGTTATTGTTGCCTCCCTCTCAGCTCACAGCAGTTACAACACTTTCCTCTGACATCTGACATTAACAAGGCATTTTCACCAAACAACTGCTGCTCATTTGATGTATAAACCCTAGAGATGGTGATGTGGAAATATCCCAGTAGATCAGCAGTTTCTCAAATACTCAGACCAGCCTGTCTCACGCTAACCACCATGCCACATTCAAAGTCACTTAAATCGCCTTTCTTTATGATTCTGATGCTCGGTTTGAACTTCAGCAGGTCTCTTGGACCATGTCTAGATGCCTAAATGCGTGATTATATAGGACAAAAAGTTAAACAGGTGTACCCAAAAAAGTAGCTAGCTAGTATTTATGTAGTATAATTAAAGATAATGGTGAAATCTGAGATCTTTTTGAACAAAACAAATTAAAATAATTATTTTTCAATGTATGCTTTTGTAAAAAAAAGAGAGCTGCAGGAAGACCGACACCCAAATTACAACAACAGTTTGTTTCATGACCAAGCAGATGGTTTTCTAGTTAAAAATAAAAGCATCCAGCCATAGAAGAAGTTTACAAAGGTAAATTTAATGAAGCCAAAGTTGATGCTAACTTAGAAATAAAACAAGTCAAGGTTTATTCACCATTAAAAGTTTCCTTTTAAATAATCAAATCATTTCCAGAACCAGACTGCAACAGCTCATGCACAGGCCAGGAACATTTGGTGCTGATGAGTTCCATCACTTTTAAAATCATATTTTGAATTTCTCTGTAAACAAAACAGACTTCCAGACACATCAGTGTTTCCACTCTGGCCTTTAAAAAGAGCCAGTTCAAGAAACTAACTTGTTACAATCATAAATTTCCTTTTATAACTCTGTGTCTTTCTGCTCAGCATTTTGCGCTCAAACAAAAATATTATTTTGTCAATGTGACATTCTCAAATTGCCTATGTTCTCTATTTTTATAAGGGTGTGTTTGAAGTGTGTGCTTTAGCAGGGCCAAAAATACATCAAGCACTTCTAAAATTAGCAGAGCTCTATTCTGAGCTCACGCAGGGTTTATATTCCCTTATGTTGTATAAGAACGCACATAACCAAAACTCTAAAACTGAATTTCGGATTAACTAGGTTTCCAAGTGATCTAGATAAAAAAAATAATAATAATACAAACTGTAATTAATTTCAAACATTTCTAAATATTTAAGTCATACTGTATATTGCATTGTCTAAACCTGCTTTTGCTACGGTGTTTATTGTGTGCATTATCTAAAAATTTCTTCTGTATGAAAAGTGTGAAAAATCCATTGGTTTGTGCTCACAAACACAAATTGCCCCAACTTTTCATGACAGCATGCACAATTTTTAAACTACTCTTTTAACATGAAGTATATTTAGTGTCCGCAGCATCTTTTTTCTTGAGACTCTTGGGAGGAATCGTCCTGACAACTGAACGCACACCTTCAAGTGTGGCTTCTTTCCCCTATTTTAAAGGTGAAAATGTTTGTATATTTATGTTCAGAATCATGAAAAAAGGGAACATTTGTGTCCAAAAACAGGAATCGGTGGATAAAAAGTTGCAACTTTACACAGACTGCTTTGAGACTGTATTGCTTCTGTACAGTCTAGACAGGATAATCAGGTCCAGGAAATAATGCATGTGATCAATAAAAAAGAATAATTAATTGGTTGCAATTGAATTTAATAATCAAATAATCATGTAAGAATCGTTGGGGGGGGGTTTTAGGCAGTAAAACATTTATGGGATACAACTTTTGCAATGCGGCAATGCGGTCAGGAATAATAACATAATTTAATAAATATAAAGGACTGGATTTATGTTGATCAGGTGGCCAAGCACACGTTTGCCACATCAGCTTTGCAAACAATCGATACGTCAGTGTTATTTGGTTCTGAAATGCAAAGAAAGCAGATCTAAGAAATGTAGAAAGTGATCGGTTAATTACAGCTTTACTATTCTGTATTTCTTTTATTGTTTATGTGAACATATTATACAGTATAACCAATTCTATACATATTATTTTGTTAGTATTTGTCACATATTGCTCCTGTAAGTACAGTGGTAGGCTTGTGCTAGCCTTGAGTACTTGGAAGAAACGACAACTTGATTTTCACTAACTTGAAAAAGTCTACTTGCCTTCTTTTCAATCATTTGTGACCTGGATGACTCAGAACCTACACAGACAGTGGTATGCATATAGCCTGAACTCTGACCTTCCTAAAAACACAATGAAATACTAGGAAAGACCCCTGTTAAATCTGCTACCAGAAAACCTTATCATATCTAATGTGCATTTCTTTTCTTTTTTTCTATTTTTTAAAAACACAACACTAGTACGAGATAAAAGTGAGAGTGTAAACAGCATCACTGTCAGTCAATGCCGCTTGGGGGTAATGGTGCGTGATGTGCGAGGAGTGACCACATGACGCTAATTAAAAGTGCTGTGAGCAGAACACCACGTTGAACTCAATACACACGGGACTGAAACCACAGGGAAAGCCGGGGGTGGAGGGTGAGCACAGGACAGACCCATTTCCCCTCTCACAGTGTGGCTGCTTTCAGCGGCATTGACTGGACAAATAAGTGCTCTCTGCCTTAATGCAGTTAATGGAATGTCACGCTGGTCACAGATACTGTAGGCTTTGTTTGGGCTAGCTGTAGTAGGTGTCATATGATGGCAATCGTAACTTGATTTGGAAGATAACACATTTCCCCTGGCAGTGATGGCCTCAATTTTCATTTTCTCCAAAAAGCTGCATTTCTCTTTGCACTGCAGTACAAGACAAGGCAGGAAAAAAAATAGAAAAATTATTCCTTTACTTCACCCAGTAAAAATGTCCCCCCCCCCCCCTTTCACACCTTAAAGAGCCAGGACTCTGCATCATCACTCCTTATGCTAGTGACTCATTGCCGGCATGATGACATTCGCAGCTCCTGTAGTTGTGTGCCAACTTGCTCACCTTTAAATGATGTACGATGGTTGGACAACAGTAACAGCAGCCAGTGATAAGTGTGTTAAGACGAGGATGCTCCGAATATTTTTTCCCATTCAACCCATTCACTGTTGGCAAGCTAAAGCAGCCACAGAGGTGCACAATGTACAGAAATAACTCATCACCATGGTTACAAAAGCATAACGTTGCCTCTCTGTATACATGAGACTGGCCAAAATATCGGAGAAATGTAAATGCTTACACAATGTTCACATTGATAATTACCGTTTTTGTTTTGCCATTATGAGCTTTTCCTCTACTTTTCCCCTTAATGGTGACCTTCTCCTTTTTTCCTGAATTATTCAGTGCCAGTTTTCCGGTTGCTGCTATTTCACCCAGCCTACATACACCCACTCAAGGGCATGTTGTGAGAAACTACATTATTCCCACCCCACCCACCCCCACTTGCAGGTAGCTAAAACTCGACTCATTCAAAGAAAAGAGAGAATGGGAAAATGACTGGGATGAACAAAGAACAAAACGAGTGAGGGGAAAGAGTGAGTCCACCAACCTTAACAATGTATGTGACTCCGGGACCAGAGATCTTCTCGTTTGAGTCTAGCCATCCTTTGGAGGGTTTGCTCACCAGTCCACCGCCTCCACCTGGATTCCAGTCCTCTCCGCTGGGCTGGTGCTCATCCAGCCTGCTCTTCTTGCTCATGCTGACAGATGGCTCCAGCTGTGAACAGGGGGTTGAATGGGAGGCCGAACTGCACAGAGAGACACCCGCACCAGAGGCTGCCGCTGTAGCTGCGCTGGGACTCGGGCCACTGGAGCAGCCTGAGCCTGATCCCCCACCCCCCTGCAGCTTTGACACAGCCAGGTCCTTAACGGCCGAGGGCAGACCCTTTATGCCGAGCAAGCTGCCGGAGTTGCTGAATTTCAGGCCGGACACCTTGTTGATGAGCGTACAGAGGGTGGTGCCTCCATCTTCCAGGTGGTCAGAGCCATGGCCGGTGGGGTTGCTGGAAGGAGCGGTGGCGGAGGAGGGCTGAACCTCAGTCGGGGGTGTGTAAGACGTCTCGGCTGCAGACTGGGGGGTGGCCGAGACCTTGGGGTTCATGGACAGGCCGTGAAGAAGCTCATCGACGGATGTTACTGACTCATTTCTGAAGCGGTTGTATTTGGTACGGTGAAGCATACCCTTCTCTCTCTTTGCTCTCTCCCCTCTCTCCACCAACCAACACGCACAGCCTGCCTCGTTCACAAGCGTGCTGGCAGACGTGGCTGAGCGGTGCTGATTACCCTCTCCTGTAACATAGCAGCAACGGTAGGCAGCAAACGCCTTTTTAGCAATCACAGGCCACCTGACTGTAATTTTCTCTATTGAGGTTACAGTGGTGGTTGTGTTGAGCTGCTGCTGCTGCTGCTGCTGCTGCTGTTGTCGCCAAAGTCCAATCTGCTCTCTGTAAAATCCAGAGCTGCAATCCAATCCGTCAGAGGAAAAATATACAGACACAATCCACGGAAACAACACTGAAGCAGAGGGAGGGGGGGAAAGGATGGAAAGGTCTCTAAAAGGCTTCCAGTGTTGTGGTGCAGCTTTTAGTTTCCAGCGGTGACGCTGCTGCTGATTCCTAGCTCAAAATCCAAAAAGTTAAGAACAGAAAAAGATCTGTGTTGTTGATGATCACGGACACTGCAAGGGAAGAGCAAATACCCTCTACTGACTGCTGCCTGCCTGCCGGCTCAGAGCTAAAGCATGACTCACTGATCTGAGAAAACCTTCTCAACAAAAGGCTTGCTGAACACTGCAAATCACTTCCTGTTGGAGGGAGAGGGAAAAAAAAACCTCCCACTTACAGCACACTAGAACCAATCAATTTTTATATTCCCCAGTCTCATATTCATTCTCCATAATTCTTTTCTTCTTATTTGTTTTTCTGTGAAAAGGAAATGAGGGATGAGAGGTAACTTGATTGTCTTAGTAACTTCGTGAAGTAATCATTCATATTTTGCTGGAATTTGCGTCTTGAACAGTGCCATAAAACTGACGACCTAATAAAAGTTTGATAAAAGGATGACACACCATAAACTAATCACTTAGATGACAGTAAATGAAGTGAAATATGTAATGAAAACATCCTTTCAATTCACAGCTAAATTGAAGCGCCTGTCAAATTCTTATGGCACAAAAATAAAATAGACATTTCTATTTAAAGAAAAATAAAGATTCACCTTAAAATGATGCAAAAGAAATCTTCATAAATCATCAAGAGAAGCAATATTGCAAAATTTTAGTATGATTGGAAATAGGTGAAACATTAATATATTGCCCATGTTCAAGTAATATAATTGCATATTGTGAGCAGACATCAGTCCTGGACCACTCACCAAAATCTACCACCAGTTATTTCCACAGCTATTTATATTCGAGCATCAATTATATATAAAAAGACTAAAGCAATTTTACTTTTTTAAGCCTAAAAATGTTGACAATCTGCAATAGGAAACAGTTCAACAATGAAGCAGAAACAGATTCACAGCCACTCTAAAATACCCAGCAACTGGTCCAGGCTGAACTGCATGAATGATACGACTCAAACAAACACATTCTGAACGGCATGTTTCTCAGGCAGATAAGTCAATGAAATAGCCAGATGGATAAAAGGGGAAAAAAAGCTTCAGAGTCTCCTTAAAACCAACAGCAATGAAGCATCTTTGTCTCCTGGCAGCAGAAAGCACACATTCATATAAAATGTCCTCAAGAGCATCTAGCAACGGCGAAAGACTGACACTCATTCATAAGCAGCTTCCACTCTCACTGTGCTGCAGATTTCGCACTGCAGTCCCTCCCAATCCCTTTCCTGCCTGGCAAAAGGAAAAAAAAAAAAAAAAAGAAGAAGAAGACAGCACGTCTGCCTTCTCGCCTCAGAAACAAAGGCAAACACAGAAGCAGGGGGGAAAAAAGGCAAGCCCTCGCAAATCAAAAGTGACGGCAAAAAGACAAAGCAGAAACGGAGCAGTGGACAAGAGAAAAAAGGCATGCAGTTTTTAGTCTTTTATGTGAATGAAATAGCAGGCTGGCATACCAGTGTTTCTGTGAATGGAAGCAAGGCCTTTCTGCCTCTGCAAGGCAATCCCTAGGGATGGCATGGTCTTATCCAATGAGGAGCCAGCTGGATGACTCATTCAGAGGAGGCTAGCAGAATAGTGGAAGAGACCATTCCAGACACAGGTGTACATTCTGTTTTCTCTTAACTGTCCTTTAAAAAGCCTACGTGCATCATCAGACATGAGATGTTTGCATAATTAAATAAGATAGTGTTCTGTTAACAGAGTGGGAAACAAGAAAAAGGTACAGGACATGAAACAGGAGGAGTAAAGCCACCCCCGTGATTTTGATTGTCACCATTATCACCTTTTTTCCCTCTCTACATTCATGTGAACAGTTGCCACCTACACATTTAATTAGTAATTGACTTTAATGTCTCTCACTCTCTCTCCCTATACATACATACACACACACACACACACACATATGTGTATGTAATTATATACATACATGTACATATCTGAGGGCATTACAAATGCGCTACAACAACAAATATATTTAGAGCTAAAACTGGACATTTGTCACATGAAAATAAATAATTACCATCCATATATATTTTATTTGGGGTTTTATTAACTTGCAATATGACAATAGTATTTTTTTTTAAGTTAAAGTAACATACTTTTAAAAAAAACTAGCAAAGGTCAAGCAGGGAAATATATCCACTGATCAATTTGCAGATATTACTGGTCATATGTGTGTGTGTATATATGGAACATAGGACAAGCCGGCACCACGATCAAGCAGATTTTCCAAGAAAAACTTGCTTTTTGCTGCATGTTAATTTATAATTTTACATAAAGCATAAAATGGACTAAGCCTGGTTTCTCATGCTGTGTTACATGCAATAAATTGTTAACAATACACTAATAATACAATGCTCAAGAAATAAAGGGGGCATAATCGCAGGATAACACAAAGTCAATCAGTGTCCAATTAAGAAGCATAAATCGTTATACATCCATTTCATCTGCTCATCAGTTGCAAATTACAACAACAACAAGACAACTCCCAAAAAGGGAATGTTTTTTCAGATAGTGACCATTACTCTCTCCTTATCACTGAGACTATACCTCCAGTCATTTCAGGTTGCATCATAGCACATCAAAACATGCTTTCACAAAAGTCTTGGCCGAGTCTCCTAGCACACTCTCAAAAGTAAAGAGAAGACATGAGGAGATGGGCCATTACATGAGGACACTGGGACCTGGCAGGACTCCATGTGGCTGGTGTGAGGGCCTGACATCCTTTAGCTCTTACATGGTAAACACATCAGAGGGTCACCCAGGCAACTGGAGACTGAAAGTGACCAGCTGTCGACTTCAAAGTTGATGCGCTTCATTGTGGACGTAGCTTAATCCACCCATCCTCTTACTGTTATCCAAGTCAGGTTCGTGTGGGCAGCTGGAGCCTATCCCAACTATTATAGGGCAAGAGATGGGGTGTGTCGTAGTGCAGGGAGAGAAACCTCCTATGGACAATTTTATGTGCAAGAAAACTATTGACATGCCGTCTCACAAAACACAGTTTTGAAACTATACTCTTAGTGCTATTGCTTCAACCTGCGTGCATTGAGTAAGACAGCTGAACTGAGCTTAAAAGACATCGACTTGTGGGCTATAAAGTACTAGACGTAGTGTCCTGGAGTCCTGCACTGTAAATAGGTATCGGAGTTGTAGTTGAGCTAATGCAATATTTAAGATGATTCTCACTCAGCTTTCTGTGACGGTGGTTTTATTTCTGGGTTTCTGTCAACTTGAATTTACAACCTGTTACCCGAACTTGCTATTTTTTATTTAAAGTTAAGTTTCAGTTGTTGAGTGTTGTGTGCACAACTTTAATCTTCTGGGTTGATCTAACTTTTTTTTTTTTTTAAATCACGTGTTACCAGTTGACATCATATAATTAAACTGTCCCAACACTTCTCCTTTATCAGTGTGGTGTGCAGGAATGAACTATGGCTGGTCACGACAGGCGATTTTTGCCTATTGACCGACACTCAGCAGGAGTTTGGTGGTGCAGTATGGTGCTTGGCCTTCTCAGTATGATGCTTCCTGCCATATCAGGGGGCCATCTATGAACAGGTCACAGAGCACCTGATAAATAATAAATACCAGGTCTGACCTGGTATTTATTATAAAAGCTTCTCTTTCAAGCTAAATAATGAGCTGACTGTGACATGTTAACATATGCAGCTGGCAAGCGTGCCTGAAAAACCTAATTTGACAGACTTTAACAAATAAATGGACACGGGTAAGAAAACCTGTGGTCACGGAAACAAACTATAATTTCTAGGTGGAATACTTGGACATGAACATAAAAAGAAGCCTGATGAATACTGGAAACACTTTTTTTGGTAACATAAGGCTAAGAGGCACCGGTTTAGCTCAGGTGGATCCAGGATGTTTGGCGTGAACGTGGCCTTACTACCACAGCGAAGGTACAGTCCCAACCATGAAGCTCACAGGTGGGAGTGTGATGACATGGACATGCGGGATTCCAAAAGGTGTTGGGGAGTTGTAAATATAAATGGAATCATGAGTACCTGTGGATACTAAAAAACAAACAAACAAACAAACAAAAAACACGGTTGGAAAGGAATCTTCTAACAAAATAAGAATCCAAACACATCACAAGACTTTCCATAGGACAAAAAGTACTACCTCACCAAACTGTATGACTTGAATCCAGAAAAATAATGATAATAATAAAAACCTTAGAGAAGAAGGTAGAACAACAGATCCCTTTCTGTTTTTTACAGCTAAAAAATGCTTCTGTGGGATGGCAGAACTTCTTTCCAGAAACTGTGAGCAACATTAGTGTTCTCCATGCAAAAGAAGACTGGGTCTAAATTATAACATCGTGGCATATTAAATTATTGGGGGGAAAAAAAAAAGAATTGGAGTAATGAAAGATATGCTAACTGAGTGGCAAAAAACCCTGTTTGAAGTCATGTAAGTAATAGTTCACATGGGTGTACTGACTCCTGTTTCTTATTGTAATACAAGTGTTCAAATCCAAATCCAGATATTCGCCATTAAATGGATATAAAAATACTTTTGTAAGTAAGAACATTATTGCACATGTCACTTAATATCTGTCTCGTTTATTTTTCACAGGAAGGTTAAGATGGATAAGAAAGGTGACACATTTCTACCATGTCATTTTCCTGCCCTACATCCATCGTCCAATTCCGGGTCTATTTGTGACCATATTTCAATACCACTGTTGCCTATGGTTATACAATCATGTGTCATGTGTCTAAAAAACTCAATGAAACACAAAATGATGAATAGCAGAAGGGAAAAAAATATTGATAGCTTGGCCAAAGAGAGCAGAGTGATGTAAGAGTTTCCGATGTGGACAATAAAAGCCTTTAGAGCCGTTTTTCATAATCATGTCTGGGATATCGTTTGAGCTTTCTGTAAATGGTTCATTAAAAAGCATCGGAAGCACAAGAAGATCACAAGAGATCACAAGAGTATTCTGGGTTTCCTAAAGGATGTACTATAAATCAAGATTAATGCTTTAGCAAGCTATGTCACAGAAGTGGCTAGCTAAATCACTGTGGTAACTTACTTACCACATGTTTTGAAGCACTGTATAGAGTCGATGTTGGAAAAACACATTTTATATAGGCAGTTGTCAAGTTGTACATGAGCTTTTCAAGTTCAAGCTGTGCAAACTGTGCATTGCATTGTAACTGGAATTTGCATGTATTCAGTTAGAGGCACAGAAAATGTATAGATGGTTTTATACTTGGTTCTAATCTGCTGCCAAGTCTGCCTTACACTGCTTGAATTGGAACTACTAGAACACAGACTAAAAAAATCAATCAGACCATTCAATCAATAAAATAAATTTCACTCTGAGCTGGCAGAGTCATTTCCATGACTCTGTTATTAAGCTATGAGGCAGTAACCTTTAATGTTTGAATGTATCCAGGTTAAAGTTTCAGAGCTCTAATGTGCAGCAGTCATGTAAGCTATCATCAATAGGTTAACATGCAGCTTGTCCTTTTTTTCAAAAGTGTTGCAATTTTTGTTATATTTTTGTATACTTTTGTGGTCTTTATAGATTTTTATCATTATCATCTGATAATGACTGAATAGAGTGGGTACACTCACAGGGATCATTTTGTCCAGAAGAAGAGTGTTTTTATTTCAGTGTGCAAAGATTCTGAAGCAGAAGGCCCAGCTTAACAGGGAAAGTTGATAACCACTGTAGTAATATCCCTTTCTCTAACTGGAGTTTAGGTTTTGTCAAGCCAGCTTATACAAAGCAAGCGTGGCTGTGTTGAATTTGCTTCATTAGTATACTCTTTAGGTCCTGAGTGTAACTAGTGGTTTGCACCTTTTTCATTGGTGAAGATTGTTGATTATGATAATTATACACCTATCTCCTCAAGAAAGTTCTTGACTTTGCTAGATGTTGTGAAGGGTTTTCCTTACCAAGGAATGTAAGAATACCAGGCTGTTGATTCGGCCACTCCAAAAGGTTTTGCTCTCTCTCTCTGATAGGTTTATTTTGGTTTTTTAAATCAACAGTGGCCTCCATCACTTGCATCACCAACTCTTTAATCCTCATACTGAGAATTTCAGTGCTACTAAATGCAACTTCATCACTTGGAATCAACAACAGAATCTATTTAATTTATCAAGAAATAACAAGGGAACAAGGTGTACCTGGCCATGAAACTGCTTGTTGATCAACTTTCCAATTAATTTTGAGTCTCGAAAACAGAAGACTACAGTCATATGAAAAAGACTGTTTTCACAGGAGTCACGGGAAGTACAACTGACCCATGATTCAGTAGCCTGTAGAAACAGCTTAAGCACCAATAACTTAGTAACAGTTTCCTGTATGACTTCTCACAGTGTTGTAGAGAAATTTCTGCCCCATGCTTCTGTGAGGACTAGAAATGTTGATTTACAAAACCTGTGCTAGCAAATGGTATGGGGACTGTAATTAATTTTAGATCGCTTTAATGGTTAATTGCATACTGAGCACTCAAAAAGTATAAAAGTTACAGATTCACATTTCATTTCTTTTATTTATTTCACACATGGTTCAACAGTGTTTCTTTTCCTACATTCAGAACCTCCTTCCCATTAATATGACACTGCACCCATGGGTGAAAAGGAGCAGGAAGAAGAATAAATTCTTGTTAGCACCTGCCCCCTATCTGCAATCCAAATATTCTTACAAGAGGGCGCCAATACCCCCCCCAAAAACCCTCTAAGATGTATCTTTATGTAACAATGCAAAACTAAACAACAAATCAATATAATCAGCAATATACAGCATTAAATGGCAATGAAAATTTTTTTTTCTTCCACATTTAGCCCCAATTACTTTCATGTTCTTCATACTGATTTATCCTTTTAAGTATGTAGCACATTTTAAAACGGTGCATGTTTGTACAACTCTTGAGATTATCTTCAAGAGAATTCCATATTCTTATACCTTTAACTGTCGGACACATTTGCCTTTGTGTGGTCTTAGCAAACTTAAAGTCAAACTTCCTTCTACTGTCCCCACTTCCTGAACACAATACAAACATGTGTTATTTTTTGCCTTGCAGGTGAATAATAATGTCTGTAATTTCACTAAGTCTTCAAATTTCAACAATTTCGATTTTATAAACAAATTATTTGTATGTTCTCTATATTTAACATTATGAACCATTCGTACCACTTTCTTCTGTAGCAAGTATAGAGGATGTATATAAGTCACATATGTATTCCCCCACACCTCAGCACAATAACTGAGATAGAGGAAAATTAGTGAGAAATATAAAATACGCATTGCCTTATAATCTAATATATCTCTGACGTTACCCAGAATATAAATATTTTTAACCATATTTTAACCATATATTTTTTGCTGATCAAAGGGTCAAACATCCTTGGTCAGGAAGAGGGTAGCCTCCCCCTCACCCTAGATGGTTCATCCTAGATAACACGGTGAGGAAGTCCTGCAGTTCATCTAAACAAAGAGCACTTAGACTAGAACAGACGCAACTACGTTAATCCTACCATAAAACAATAAGACACGGTATGACCTCTCATGCTCCCAAAGTGCTGTCTAATACACACAAAGTTTGCAGACTATCAAGGATCAAAACCTCTACCAATCTACAACTAATTACAAAACTCTAAGCATATATAAGTAAATATTTCTAAGCATAAATGACAATCAACAATACAAACTCTAACATTATTAACCCTTTTTACCTTAGATAAAAAGATCACGCAACACTTCTTTACAGGATTGCTTCTCATCATCAAGGTTTTTGGTTATTTGCCTATGCACAGCTCTCTAAAGCTCCTGCCACAACATTTCAACCAGGCTGAGGTCTGGGCTTTGGGCTATTGCAATATGTTGATTCCTTTGTTTTTGAGCCATTCTGCTGTAGATTATGTTAGCCCTGCAACAGACTGGCGACCCATCCAGGGTGTACCCCACCCGCCCTATGATAGCTGGGATATGCTCCAGCCACCTGTGACCCTGATAAGGATAAGCAGAAGTGACTGGATGAATTTAACATGCTAACTGAGGCCTGTAGAGTCTGAGATGTAAATCTTCACACCTGAAAACTCCACACTAGCAAACTGCCAAAACGTCATCTTGTATAAATTTGGCCACACTTGCTTATGATGAAATGAAAATAAAAATTTTACCTGATGATAATTCATAAGGCTTTAAGGAAACTAGTAGTACACAGTATTTTATTTTAACCATCCTCATCAGGAATAACACAGTAGTGTATTTTAGTGTTGTGATGCATATTTAAACATGTGAGATATATTGTGTTTCTATTTTGTGTGAAGATGAACAACTACTGCAAAAGAGGGCTGAAAACAACTTAAGACACTCACCTGTACTTTGATGACGGCTCGAGAACTACGCTAAAGAGGGAAATTCTGGTCACATGACAGAAGTCGTCCAATCAATACCTTTGAGCAATCTGCACGGAATGAGCTACAGGTGGGCACTTGTTGTTATTCTACAACCCCAGTTTCTCGTAAAACTTTTCTAATAATTAACCTGATTTTTTTTCCTGTAAATATGTCTCGGAACCAGATCTACTATTCCAACAGGTACAGTGACGACCATTACGAGTACAGGTGAGCATTATTGGTTCGCATGTTCAACTTTAGTAACGTCAACTAAAGATTAGCAACAAAGAGAAGACGTCTTCAGTGGATATTTAAAAAAAAAAATTAAACGTAGACAACCGACACGAAGTAGTTTCAAAGTTTAAGCTTTGTCACGCTTTTTTTAGTGGAGGTGTAATAGTAGAATAATAATATATAGTAAAAAATATCTTTTTCATTATTATTATTATTATTATTATTTTTTTTTTTTTTTTTTTGCACTATTTAGTGGAGGTGTAATAGTAGAATAATAATCCCATTGAATGTTGCCGTTCAATGGGAACACCACCATTACGGTGACAAACTTTTAGTGGCTGTAAAGTGAAAGTCTGACCGCCAGGTGTCGCCAGAACAGCTCCAGTGCTCCTTGAAAGGAAGCGACCACCCTGAGTTAGTTCACATTTTCAGTATTGCTTCAGTTAATTTCCAGTATGAATTTTCTCGTTTCTTCTTTTTTTTGGGGGGGGGGAGGGTTAAAGTTTTTAATCAATATCATTGCTAGTTTTAGGCTTTTAAATTATTTTTTTATGAAATGTATTTGTCAAGGGGGAAGATTTTGGAAGTTCATAATGGGTATAACAATACAAATACAAGAAGTCAGTCGGATTATAGTCACTGAAACATCTGAGGTTTAAATGAGCAGAGCTTTGTCATCTTGGTATGTTGGCAAATGTGACCATTTTTTATATTAAGAATTTTAAAAGCAAGTTAACAATATCTTTGCCACCCCCATCACAGTAGATACGTTTAAGACCCCTCAGGCCAACTTTGTATTGATTTGCACTGCTTGACCTGCAAAGGAATACATGGACTCAATGCACGCCTGCAAGATCCTGCAAGCCACTCAATGGCTTAAATATAGCGGTTTCCTTTAATTTGGCACCTGTGTATCGATCTGTATGTGTTTTTTTTTCTGTAGACAATTCACATATGACTTTCGGCTGCATTTTACTTTTTAAGTCGTGATGAAACATTTGTTCCTGGAGACTCCTGTATAGCAGGAACTCCCTAAGAGACTTTGAGCATGTTGTCTACATATCTGTCTCTGGACAGTTTTTATCAACATAACATCACAACTGCAAGATCCAGTTGACACTTTGCATGGTTGTAGTTTAAATCATATCTCAGATAACTGGTGTCGTCCAACAGGATAGTTGCATCAAACCTTACAAGATATTTACACTCCACTAATGATTAACAATCGTTTGTTCTCATCACTAGACATGTTGTTCTGCCTCGGGAGATGACTAAATATATCCCAAAATCCCACCTGATGTCTGAAGAAGAGTGGAGACAGCTGGGAGTGCAACAGTCCCAGGGATGGATCCACTATATGATACACGAACCAGGTAATCTGCGTGTAATGTTATTGGCTTGCTTTTGAGCTGCTGAAATGTTGGCAACCTGGACTTGGCTGCAAATCCATTATGTTCTTAAAAGCTCTTGTAAGTTGGAGTTGATTGTTGATGCTATTCGTGCACCGTTATGTCTGGTTGACTAGTAAAGCAAAAGTAATGGTTTTCTCGCAGTTCATTTAAATGCAGGCCCAGATGCCGAGATGCATCACCAGAATGGCTGCAGAGTCGTAGGACTTTGGCTGTAACTACAGTGTAGCACATCATTCTGGTAATAGGCCTTTAAAACACACAATGATCGGGCCTCAGGTCACTAACCTGTTTGTATATTTGTCTGCTATTGTTCTCCCAGAGCCACACATCCTTCTGTTCAGAAGACCTCTACCTCCGAAGCAATGACGCAAGACCCCACCCTCGCACTACTAGAAGAGTCCTCCTGTGATCTTTTATTTAAGATTATTAAGTGTATACTGTCTGGCTGCTCACTGCAGCATATGAATTTCTCAGCTTTTTGATGTAATCCCTCTGATTTGTTTGCTTTTTTTTTTTTTGCGGAGAAAGGAGGAAGAAATCTTTGACTTCAAACCGAATTTCTAAATTAATTAGAGATGGTCAAATCTGGTGTCAGTCTCTCTGTGTGTTCAGTTACATTTGTTTAATTGTCATGCTCTGACCTTTACAGTAATAAACAACCTGCTAACCACCTCCTGTTTTTGGGTTATGTTCCTATAAGTGGTCACAAGAGGGTGGTGTGGCTCCACTAAACACCACCATGAAACCAGTGTTGTGCTGAAATACAGAAATGTGCCTTAGGAAGCTACATGTGGCTTTTTCTCATACATTAAAAGAAACTTAATGGAGAACCAAATTAAAAACAATTTAAGATAAACCGCTGTAAGTCTGCAAATCTGAGGCACAAGTGTGAAAATCAGCTTAAAACTTTTTTTTTTAATTTAGATTTCAGTCAAGGCATTAACTATACATGATTTTCAAAGAAAATTCTTGATTATATTTACCATCATCTGCTCACATGTAATTAAAACACTAGAATGTGTTAAACTTGAAGGCATCATGACATAAGCGACAGCATTTAAACAGTTTATTTCTGCTACAGCGTCAAATATGTAGTCACAGTTTTAATGTGAAGAAAATAACAGATGAAAAGCAGTGAGTGTGACAAAAGTTTCCATACTTGGGCTGAACTGCATTTCTTTTAAGATAAATTTTGCATTTTGATGGCATGTTGTTAAAAGAAAGAGCTACAGGCCCGATTCCTGCCATCAAATCCTACGAATTGGGTTTTGGGCTCGATGATTAAAGACATTTTCACTCAAGATTATACAAATTCCAAGTAGCTATGATGGACTTGACAGAAGCTTCTGAAGCCAGCGAAGGTGCAAACATCTTAAAATGAATCTCACAAACATTTGACATGTTCCATCGCTTTAAAAATGCGAAACATTCCTTACAAGCACCGCTCTCAGGACGTTTGACAGAAATGTATTTTTGGTACAAAGGCAGCCCACGTGTTCTCAGATTGATGAGCTTCATCTCCTTGCAGAGTTTGGTTGGAGACTCCCACATTATCACTGCATATAGGTGACCCCAACCCCCCCAACTGCCCTCACCCCTGCAGGAGGCAGATTGTAAATGTGTTGCTTCATGGTCCCCCAAACTCCTATCTAAGAAGTGGCATTGTTGTTTTTTTGACAGTTTCAGTGTCAAAGGTGTGGTCCACCTGGATGGAGGACCATGTTCGCAACCAGATTCAGCCAAGTCAACTCTTCACAGAGCTCTGTGGTCATCACAGCTTTCCTAAAGGGGGAAAAACACAGCTGTACTACGCAAGCAGTGCGATTTAATTACACAAGAGAAATGCTGGGAGTAGTACTGATGCATTTCAACAACTGCACATGCAGATGGGGAAATAATTGTTTGATCCCCTGCTCACGTCCAACGAAGGTAACAGTCTAAGTTTCATAGTAGTATAATTTTAATGGAGGCAGACTATTAACCAAAAACCCAGAAAAGACACATATATAATGTAAAAGAAGTATTTGATCCCCAAGCAAATCATGACTTATTACTTGCCTCCATTAAAATTAAACTGCCATAAAAATATGACACTTTCATTTATTTGTAAATGAGCAAACTTACAAATTAAGCAAGAGATCAAATAATTATTTCCCCCATTTTAAAGCCACGAGAAAAGTACTGAGTCATTGACTTTAAAATTCTGTAATAACCAATGCACTGCTTTTAATCAGCTTAAGTATCTGGCGATACTTAAGTTAACCCATTCGTGACCTATAGGTATTGTTTTCTCTCTAGGAAGACAGACTGATATTAGTTAGATATTAGTCAAAAATGTCCAGTGAATTCAGCAACATCAAGACATTTAGGAAATTTAGTTAAATGTCACAAGACTCACACGTGCCTGTATTGAAGGAGGAATCTCATTAGCAGCTTCTCTAAAAGGAACATAAGCTTTTAGTTACTCGTGCAATTTACAAAATATGGTTAAAAGAACATGCGATTCGTACAACACCGTTAGATACATGACGTTAAAGGCATTTAAAGCTGTAGTCAAGGTTAATGATTGGTGTATTTAAACAAGTGCACTTCAAAGCTTCAAAGCCCTTAAATCAGACCCTCATTTCATTTGAACTAACTCTTTCTTCGCATCCCTCGTTTCGTGTTATTGCTGCTATAAAAACCTGGACTTTGCACTTCTCCAGTACTCTTGACGAAAACAGCCTGGCAGCCTAAAGCTGAACATGCAGAGCAGGTTAAAACCGACGCACGTGACGCAAACACAATCCAGGCGACTGACCGGAGAAGACAGCACACTCAGACCTACCCAGGCCTTTTCCCATCTCTTTAGCAGTTGCTCGTGCTCTGCGAGCGCACCTCTCCACTGGCTCAAATCTCGGGTTGGAATGTTCTCTTCATCTGTCGAACAACAACACGCTTTATGGAAATAAACCAGTGCAATTATCCATCTCTGCCAATGGAAACAGCCAGTCCAGAACACTCCCAATTCCATTCTGCATGCAGGACTATAGTCAATATTTTCCACCTGATACCTCCAATAGAGAGCCGGAGGTCAACTTCAGACACGTCATTTCCTGTGCTGGCCTCAGCAACACAGTTATACCGTGCGTCCTTGATCAGCGGCCCCTCTTGGAGCCAGCTGCTCACTAAAACCTCCCTCTGACCAAGCGGCCGGCGGTACTCCTTTATGGGGGTGTCCAGACTGTGTCCATTTACTAGCCAGTGAATGTGGACATCACTGGGACCTGTGGGACAGAATTGATGTTGACCTCTGATGTTTAAGGCACCACTGAGACATGCATGAAATACTTGCCTTTGGTTGGTCCACCTGTGGTCATCAATCAGTGAGCATGCATGCTGCCTGATCTCAGGTCTGATAGGCAAACATTTTCTAATTAGTATGTATCTGTCCTCTCTATGGAGCCCTCATCTTTTGAAAATACAACGGATGATGATAGTTTAAAAAACATAAATAAAGAAAAACAAACAAGGGTTGTAAACGTTTTACATTTTTATTTTGCCTCCCTACCAAGAACCACAGCCCCATTACGTCACCTAGTTTTATGTACATTGTCAAATTGTATTTTTTCCCCATATATACACAAATATATTTACATTTGTTTACAGGCACAAAAATGATCTGGATAAAGAAAAATGAACCCACTAAACTTTGTTTTGAGGAAAGATTCTTAATATCCTGGATAAGGAGGATCTGTCCGTCCGTCAGAGTGTGGTCACTGGACCCGATCACTGAGTTTTCCAGCTTAATGAATCCCAGCTTAATCTTTTTAAACATTCACGTTTGCTTTGTTTTTTTAATGAAATACTCTTAAAAATGGAGGTCAATCGTTCCCACAAACACAGAAAAAAAAAGCAGGGAGGATCACTTGTTACACACAAACAGGAACTCTGACATGCTCGCACTCACTCCCAGTTAGCTGATGTTTGCCAACATGCGAGATGCAGGAGAGGAGAGTGAATGTGCGAGAGTGATGGGTTAAAAAGCGAAAGGAAGAAATTTCTGAAGGATTTAGATTCTGGGGTGTGAGCTCAGCCTACGTCACATGCACCACTCACCCAGGGCGAGGCAGAAGAGAAGGAAGGCCTCCTGCGCGTGAACCCCCCAGGCCTGGTCCTTCAGCAGGGGAGGCAATAGTCTCACTTCGGCCTCCCGAGCCTCCGCGTTATGGGGCTTCGTGGAGGAGGGAGAAGAGGAATGGGGAAAGGAGGAAGGGAGTGCAGAGGGAGTGCTACCTCCAGAAGAGGACAGGGAAGATGAAGTGGCGACAGGAGAGGAGGCTGTGAGAGGGAGTGACGGAAGAAAAAGTACTGAGGAAAAAACAAGAAATTCAAACAGGGGCTGGCATGCAAACAGACAAAGGGGTGACGAATGAATGGCCTAAAAAGTTCAAATCAGCTGCAATAAATTAAAAAAAAAAAAAAAAAAAAAAAGTAAAAACAACAAGGATGAAGATCACAACTAGTTAGACAAAATGTTACCACAGATGTGACTCATAAATAATAATTCTCTGAAAATTGTCTAAAACTGAAGGCTTTATAAAATTACAATTAAAAAAATAACTTCTGATGTTGCCCCCCTTTTTTGTTAATCATGTCACACTGTACATTTTTACATTATTAACAGACCACATATGGAAAGATCTCCGACAAGGGTTAATACACAGGACGACCAGAGTTGTATCTGTTTGGGGAATGTCGATTTCACAGGAAGGAAAATAATAATAATACTAATAAAACACGAGAGTCTGCACGCAGGAAACACAGTGGTACAAACAGTTTGATTCCTTCTCTTACTGCCAGTTCACTGGGAGAGATTAACGCCCACATGCTCCGGGTGGTGACGCTGTGCTAACCTAGGCTACAATATACTGAGCAACTCTTCCCTGAGAAATCAATGTAATACTGAAGCATTCACTGTGTAATGAAGTATTCACTGCTTTTAAAAAAAAAAAAAAAAAAAAAAAAAGAAAAGAGATGCAAATGCTTCAAATGCCCCCCCCCCTCCCCCTCCCCCTCAGGCTGTACAGAAATGTGACTGCACTTTGGGAAGCATCACAGTAACTTACCAATTTGGTAAACAATGTTTCCAATTTGGAATGTTTAAAAAGAAAATTGACAAAAATTCAAAAAAAGTAATAGCTTTTCTTGCTGGGCTAAGCTGAAGGAGCTGCAGCTTCCTTGAATACAGTTGTTTTTTTGCTTCTTTTTTTTGCTTCACCATCACCATTAGCCCTAAAATCAAACAGCGGGAGTTAAAACTCTACAACCGAGCGGGAATGCCCGATCTGGGCCTCGGGATTCTCATGCCTTACAAAAATGTTGTGCCCTGGACAGAAGCTGCAAATGCAGAAAAAGCGCGGCCCCCTGCGCTCTCTGTGAGAGGAGGGATCAAGTCTCTTGTGGCTAGCGTTAAGCTTCTGCATCTGCATCTGCATACTGAATGTCCTGAGATCCACAGTCCACATCAAAAGGTTTCTCCTTGGAGGGGCTTTCCTCTCCGAAACTGAGAGAGGGGACGCGACCGTTCCCGCACTCCGGCTCAGTTTCGTACCCCGTGTCACGGAGTGCCCGGAGGTTTTGAGTGGTTTGGCTGCCGTTCTGGGTCGGCTGCTCGGCCATGTTAATTTTCTCGATCGCAGAGGTTTCTATTAAACCTGCCTCACAGGCCCTGTACTCGGTCTGATGGGCGCTCTTGTGGCTGCCAAGTAGTGTGGCCCGCAGCCTCAAGCAGGGAGCTGGAAGGTACTGCATGTAGCAGTTGTACACCAGCGCAGCCATGAAGAGGAGGAAAAACAGGAGGAAGAGGAAGAGGAGGGCAGCGGTGTTGTTGTGCTGCAAATACTCTGCCGAGGGGTCCCGACTGTCAGGATGGGGGCCTTTGGAATTAGTGGGAAGAAGATTTACCTTTGGCTGGAACTTGACTGTGCTGCTGGGGGGCGGGGTTAGTGACGCGTCGCTTTGGGGAGGGGAGGGTGGTAGGACTGTTGCTGCTGTGAAGCTGGGAGGAGCAAGGGCTGAAGTTAGTGCGGCTTTCTCCGTCTCTACTTTACCTTCAGCTGCACCCGTGGTAGCTGCGTCGTGGCCACCGAGGGTGGTGGTGACGACATGCCCCGCCTGGTGCGGCGGTCTGGGCAGAAGATCCAGAGTCAGGGTGTATCCGGCCAGCAGGCGGCTGAAGTTCCTGCCAGCAGCGGGAGACCACTCCACGGACCAGCACTCATAGTACCCTTGGTCCTCTGGAGCCACGCTGTAAATGAGGAGCCCGTTTTCGGCTATGAGGTGGAAGCGAGAGGCCTCGGTGAGAACCGAGTCATTAGATTTCCACATCACCTGGGCCAGGTTGGAATGTACCAGGCACGGCAGCTCGGCAGAGCTCCCCAGTTTCACCGCCACATGCCTGTAGTCCTTCCGAAACAGAACTGGCACTAAAAATAAGCAAACAAAAGAGACAATTGTGAGTTTTAGATACTGTCTGGTCAAATGGGGACAATTCCCAACACGAGGTACAAGTACCCACACACTGCAGTAGGCAAGAAGTGTAAATAAACTGGGTGGACCTGAACAGGTTTCAGCAGAAAAGTTAACAGTTAACTAAGAGTAATGGATAAGCTGTAAAAAAAAAAACAGCAGCCAAAGGGAATTTGCAAATGATGAAAACCGATAAGTAACGACCAACAACAAAATGAATGTTTGACATGGCATGCAAAAGTTATGGCTGACTTACGGTCACAATCTCTTCATCTATGCATAACTTCATCTGAGTCACAGTTTAAATCACACAGCATTGTCCACTTTATAAAACTGAAGCCTGTATATGGGTGTGTGAGCATGTTGAGGCCTACCTGAAGGACACATGTTTGCATCACCTTTCATGCTCTGGATCAGCCCCCTGCAAGACATGCATTGTTTTTATGAGTCAAAAAATACACATGCACAGTGCAATAACTGCACAAAGACTGTAAAGCAGGTCAATCTGGAGGACGAATCAGTGCACGTGTGTTTTTAGCTTTGTTTTAGTGGCATTAAGAGTGACAGATTACCTGAGTGTTTGGCTGGCAGTGTCAAAGATGTTGACACATGTGGCAGTCTTCGGGTGCCAGGCGCAGTAGGGGTCTCGTGCCAGGATGCAGTCCACACACGATGAATACCTGCCACAGAAAGCTGTAGGAGACTGGACTACACCCAGGTCTGACCCAGCATACAGGCACTGTGTCTGTGGAAACGCACATGAACCACAAAGTTAATCGCATATTTATCCAAGTGACTTATAAAAATGAGCCAACGTGATCCATATTTCACATTTTCTTGGTCTCGTTCTTTACTCATCTCCTAAAACTCATTAACAATAAAATAAATTGACCTCTGAGGACAGCAGCAGGTTTTTGACGGGTTCAGCGTTCTTCAGGAGCTGGATCTCCTCCACAATATGAACCTCATCTTCAACCAGCACCGACTTGTGCAGGACACCCTTATCTAGACATGAGAATAATAAAAATGTCAGTTATTCTGCAAAGGTAATCGCAGGAAAACGGGACTCTTTAATACATTTATCTGCAGGTTTGTGGCGAGTCGTGGCTTTCTCACTGCACAGACATTCAAAGTTGACTGACTCAGATTTGCATATTTGCCTGATAAACTTCACAAGGAAGTGCTTGTAACGGCTTCATTTTCATTTCATCTTAACTGATCACCTGTTCCAGTGAAGATGACGTCATAAGTAATTTTGTCAAGTGCTTGGACCCTCTCCACGACAATCTGGGTGTAATTGACGTCTTTGGTGATGAGGCGGGGCCTGTTGTGGATGGGCAGGATGGGATCCTCCAGCAGGGGGTGGTCCTTAACAAACTGAAGGGTTTTGTCGGGCAAGTGGAGCGAGTTGTTCATGTTCTGCAGTCGCATCTGGTTGTTAATACACTGGTTTGGAAGACAAATAGCGATGACGTTAGTAATCAACTTCATATGACCAACGCATCCTCTTTTAATTAACATGATTACTATATTGAGTAGATCACATCTTGATTACTCATGGCATCTACTTACAGCTCCAGGACGTGGAGTTGGAGTAATGCCGTTGTACCGTACCCACTTTGTGTGGGACTGCTCCACCGTGGCCTTCTGCATGTACTTGCCCTTGGAGAAGACGTCTTCCACATCCTTGATCTCGTAGGCACACACGGCTGACAAACCCACGTTACCCCTAGGTGCATATGTCAGGAAGAGACAAGGAGAAGAGTGAAAATGAGGCAAGGGAGTGAGTTTCGAGTTCTGCATTAGGCTGGATGTGAATGCTGCTCTTTGCTTGCTTGTTTAACGCTCCCGACCCAAACCAATTCCAAACCTTGAAATCACTGACCACTGAGAGGTGAAGACTCCGTAGATGATCGTGTTTTTGCGGTCTGTCCCCTTCAGGATGAAAACGTCACGAACCACGTTGAAAACGAAGTTGAGCTCAGGCATGGAGCACACCAGCTTGGCTTTCAGAAAGGACGTCCACTTTTTCTGCAGAGTGCGCTGCCCTCCAAGGTCGCCCTGTCGTGACAATATTGGAGATATTTAGCAGTGAGGGATGAGAGGGCAGCTGGAGCAGAGAAAGAATTTCCACTTTTCCTAACATGCTAGAAACGCTGACCTTATCCAGCTTAACAAGGAGCTCTGAGCATTGCGCCAAGTGGATTATGCACTTTCTTGCCCTACATTTTGCCTCTCAGGCAACATACAGGGATCCCTGACTGGGGGTGGAGGATTACGTGCAAATACATATATGTCTAAAAACTGTACATCCATTATTGCTTTTTTATTTGGTAACAGGAAACAAGACTAAAAAGAAAAGATGTAGTTACAGTTGCATTTACATTTTCAAAGCAGTAAAATTTGAAATGAATAGTACAAAAAGAACTATCCTGTTTGTTATACTACTAACTTTGAAACATTACAATACGCTGTTATGATGTATGTTGCAAGTTAAGTGCTTGCACTGGAACAGTGTTTTATATTGTCCACGTGCCATGGGTCTCTGCATGTGCATGCTGCAATTATGAGCTAAGGTTAAATTAAAAAAAAAAAAAAGGAGGCAAAGGGAACTGGAAGGAGGAAGAAAAAAAAGGAGAAAAAAAGACTTGCACAAACATACATACACAAACATGCAGGACACAGGAAATAGTGGCTAAAGATGGATGGATTGATAGCGCTGGTATGTGCAGATGGTGCACAACGTGTACTGACCTTACAGACACGCGCCACCCTGGGGATGAACAGCTTGCCAAAGAATTCGTATTCCACCGACACCTCGGTGAAGAAAAAGTAGATTTTGTCGTCCTCGCCATCTGCTCCATTTTCCCCTTCTCTGATCACGTCGGCGAAAACGAAACTGGGTTCTGGGAGGAAAGCAGAGAAAGGTATTGGTAAGAAAAAAAAAATCCTGGAGGCCACCAGTGCTACCCCTCAACCTCCTAGTAAATTTTGAAAATACTAGGTCATTTTCAGCAAACCTGACCTCTGACGTTGAGGTCCAGGTCACTGAGATTTTAATTCATCCAAGATTTAGATACTAGATGCATCAATGCTATCAATTTCAAAATCCTATATCACTTTGTTCTCGAGTTCTGGATGGCATTTCCTCTGCCTCCAGAGGCAATTTTTAACCAGCAGCATATGTCCTTCAATGCACATCCATAAACAAATACCTGGGACTGCTTCCATTCGTGCAATATCTCTAAAATTAGAAATCCTGTCTCAGAGTGACGCTGAAAACCTAGTTCAGGCATTAATTACTTTAAGGCCTCCTTTTAAAAGGGAGTTTTTCCTTCCCACTGTCACCAAAGTGCTTGCTCATAGGGGATCATATGATTGTTGAGGGTTTTTCTCTGTATGGATTATTGTAGTGCCTACCTGACAATATAAAGCACCTTGAGGCAACTGATTTTGTGATTTGGTGCTGTATAAATAAAACTGAATTGAACTGAGTTATCACATTCACAAACCTGGGTGTCCTGCCTGGCGGAGTGACGACAATACCCCATCAGCCTTTTACGGCCAAGGGGTTAAAAACTTTAGACTGCTCCCTTATTTCCCAGGGGGTTGGCACAGTGGATGGATGTCCGATTCTGTGCAGGGTTTATGCCGCATAACCTCCCTGATGCAACCCTCCCACTTACTTGTGACCCCCTGAGACTGGATTTGTGTCTCCTCCCAGAATCAAACTGGGATTTTTCACAAGTAGGGTGATATGGTACTGTAAAAAGTCTCACTGTATTCCTAAAGGTGGGATTAAGAGTCCTAAACTTTGATTAAATAAGTATGTGACACATTTAAATCTGACACACAGGATGGAGATAATTTGGGGATCTCCCTCTGGTGACGTGTAATGCTGTGTTCATATCAGCAACAATATCATAAAAGAGCCAAGGCCAGCTGTGTCACTCTTCATCATCATCTTTGAGCGTGTGTGTGTGTGTGTGTGTGTGTGTGTGTTTGTGTGTTAACATGGGAGTATGACAGGTTGATACTTCACTGGTTTGAGACCTACTCAGCTTTGATCTGTCACACAGTCACAAATTGGTAGCTGTGTAGTTAAAAGCACTGCTGTGTTTTCTACACGCCCTCTAATTAACAAGAGGAAGGAGTTTTTTTTTTCTTGGTGTTGTAGTCGATGTATTTTGCCAACCAACAAAATACATATGTGAAAGTGATGCTGCAACAACAGGTCAATAAACTGCAGCAAAGAAAGGATTAGATCAATCCAGATCCATTAACATGAGTCAGTGGCACTCGGGGGACATTTCTACAAGATGTTTTCTCAACCTTCAAAACACATTTTTAAAAGCTATTCTCCCAACAGCCTGACAATCGTTTAGTTCATTCAACTCACCATTAAGCCATGATGTGGAGTACTCTGTCCTCAGCAGAGACTGGGTTGGGGAGTATCTGGATATAATCGGTTCACTGCCTAAGAAATTATAAGCTGTCCCCGAGTACAGCACTCCATCTGATAGGAAAACAGAGAGTAAAACATCAGAAAATTATTTTCCTTCTCTAAAAAAACCCAAAACAAAACAAAGGGGATTGTTATGAATTTCACTGCAGCCATAACCAAAATAAGCACTTTATGAAATGAGATGAGAGAAGAGCTGGCCTCAACTCACCAGCCATGACAGTAGTAAAGCTTTGCGAGGGGTCAAAGGAGCACTTCCCTCTGCCGTCCTCGGGTTTACCGTGAAGTGAGAAGTTGCCAAAGTACTGAAAGAGGAGATTACTTATGAGATGAGGCGGCGGTGTTAATAAGTGAGTTTAAACAGTGAAGTACGGCGTCTGGGTAAAGAGCGGTTGAAAATTAACCTACCAAGTAATCACACTGAGGCTGAAAGGCGTGTGTGCCGCAGACATACAGCCGCGTGTCATCTACTGCTTGGAGCACTCGAATGTAGTTTAGACACTCCCTCTGAAAGGAGAGGGAACAAAACAAAAGGAGAATTATGACCTTGTGGTTACAGTTCGCCCGTCTAGACTTAATGTTAGACATTTTCAAAATTAAATTACATAACTTCAGTTATTTAATTTTGTCTTTTTCTTTGTCATCAGAGTATACATTTTTGAACCGTCACCAAAACCAGTGTTTTGGGAGGTCACACTGATCTTCGGTTGCCAAATTCTAATCAGACGGACAGAGCAGCATCCATGCATACATCCCAGCATGTAAGAGCTGTTAAACTAACCTCTTTTGATTTTCCTTTCAGCGTGCACATATTCATAGATTTTTCTGTAACTGGCCACTGAACCTTAAACAAACAGGAATAAAGTAAAAAAAAAAATTATAATCCAGATTATTTAAAACATCCCTCCACATGCATTACCATGAATCTTTTAAGATTTAACTACCTTCTTGTTTCTGACGCTCACATTCTTCTTGCTGAGCTCAAAGATGGCCTCTCTTGCTCCCACATACAGCGCATCCCTTTCTTCACTCAGCAGTAATGTGGAGTAGTTGAAGATGCCTGGCTCTGAAAACTCCATCAGATCTAAATCTAGCAGAAAAAAAAAATCATCATAAACCATTTTTTTACTCAATAACATCTGTATTTAACTGTAGTCAGAATTTAATTTACAGCTGATATGGCCGATATGTTGAAATGAGCATGTGTACAGTAGAACTAGCTGCTTTGAGATATGGACCCACGCGCAGGCAAATAAATATTAACCAAGCCACAACAGTTTCAGCTTTCACATTCAGTCACAAGGGACAAAGTGCTAATACCCACTGTACACTGCTCTGTTTAAATTAGTGACTAGTAGGTGAACACGGTCGAACATTAAGTAGCTGAAGAGCGAGACGTTTCTTTGAAGGTGGAGCTAAACGGAGATCAAATGGACTTTTACTCATCGTGGACCCAGACACGCGACTTTAGGTACATTGTTGCTGGACATTATCATTCTCTAAAACTGTCAGCGTTGTGTTTATGGTGTTTCTGTGGCCAAAAACACTTAAAAACAGCTTAAAGTTTCACTGCAATAAGCTCCTTATTTTGATTCTTGGGCTCTACTACAGTAGCTTTGCATGACTCACAGTGCAAACTAATCTTCGTTCAGTTTAAACTGTATTAGTGGAGCCTTTCAGTTCATCAACTATCTGAAATAAGTCACTTTAAGCTCCTCCTTCTTTAGGCCAATTTTCTTCAGATTGGCTGCCCAAGTAGAACAGCATGTGGCTGGCACTGCTGTGCTCACAGCCAGAACTGGTCATATTAAGCACAGATGAGATCCAAGAGAATAAAATCCTATGTGAAACCAAGCATTCATGAAGCAGTAAGTGAATAAAGCTCACTACATTTTTTACTTTATTTTATGATTCCCAAAATTTTAGAACTAGGCCAGGTCGCACACCCAGGCTTGTGTAGCTGTACTGAGCGAGGTTGTTTTCTCCCCGTCCTAATAGCTGAGAGGTTTGCTGGATGAGGACCTGGAACAAAACAGTGCGCTGTCTATTTGCAGTTTATGCATCAGAAGGTGTTCAATAAACCAAACGTTTCAGACCCGGTTTTGAGAGATACTCGAAACCGTGTGAAACTAAGGTGAAACTAAGATAACGAATACTGGAAACATTGGAAAGTCCGGTTGCTCTTTATTGCGTCATTGGCTGTTTTTGTGCACAGCTGTGCATTCTTTAGCCAGCTGAGTGAAACTAGGTTTGCAGGAATAATCGGGAATTATATGCATCCACACACACAGGAGAATAAGGCAACACACTTTAATACACTTTAAAGGGACTCAAGTGTACACATGTAAGCAGGAACATTAACCAATGACAGATAATGAGGCCAGCAGAACACTATTTTCTGTGCTGTAACCGACCAAGTTGCATCAGTTCAGTCAGCAACGACAAGTGAGGCTAACGAAAGGTTTTAAAAAGGATGAAAGGAAGGATCCATGGATGTATGTATGGGCATTCTAGCTGGAGATACTGGCAAGACAAGTCCCTTGTATCTTGAAAAAAGGCCAAAACAAAAAGGGAAGTCAAATTTTCTGTTACAGAGTCATCAGGACACATCAGCATTTACAGTGTGGTCAAAAAGGCCCCAGACCACCTCGTAAGCAATTTTTGTGATCGCATTACAGTGCATCCCTAAAGCCGCTTAGCACTTATAATCACATCTTAGAGTCACACCTTTGTGCATCTCTGGGTACTCTGCATTAACATTATATAAATGAAAACTCTCATTACACTTTGCGTTGTGATTGATGGGAAAACCTGGGGGGAAGAGTTTGTGTTTGGATGGTTGTGCCAGGTGCAAGTGGGCTCAGGTTGCAGGTGCCAGGTCATAAACACTGCCACCATGAAAGCAAATACCCTCACTGACTGACTGAAACAGTGACTGTGACCCAGCGAATTGAGAAACATGGTTAAAGGGTGAGCCGCGCTTGTTCTCTTGCAGAGACAGAGTTACTTGAAGCTATTTCTGTAAACGGCAGCTTGCAAACAGCTTCTGCCTGACACACACACACACACACACACACAAAAAGGGATCCAACTTGAGGGTCTGTGGTGAGGTTGTCTCAAGGTAAAATTAGGCGACAGGTGTTGACGTCTTTGCTTCACAGTAGATTGCTAAGTTATAACAGAGCTGTGATATATTAGAAAGTAATACAGAGAGTGCAGTTTGAGTTCACCAAGCACTGAAGTGAATGATCTTTATCACGTATTCGTGTTTCAGACTAACAAGCATTACATTCTTACATTCTCTGATTCTATCATAATAACCAGCCAGCGGCATGTTATTTCACGCCTTACCTTGATGTCGCCAGGAAGTGCGAGGCACACCGTGGGGCCCGTGTGTGGAAACCTCCAGGAGCAGCCCCAGAAACACCCCCAGCACGCCAAAGCCCATATTAGACTCTGATAACTTTGGAACTGTGAAGTTTCCTCTGCAGGGACACACAAAGACAGCGAGTAAAGCCACGCGCAAAAACCCGTTCTGACAAAGCATTTCATCACATGCCACAGACAGATCGTATCAAGCAGCACAGATGCTAAAAGGGAACAGGTGTCAACTCTAGTTCCCTCCCGCTAAGCTATCAGGGTTCATCCTCACACACAACACAAGCACACAAACAAATTAGAAATCAAAAATCAACTTTGACAAAATGATTCGATCACTTGTTGGCAAATAGTTGCAGCACTTGAAAGACTTTTTTGTGCGGTTAAATAAAGAAGAACAACAAATGTGAAGTTGAATGAGCTATCAGAGGAGTCAGTGAGGAGGAGACAGAATGAAGAGGCTGCACACGATCTAATATGACTTACAGTAACAGAAAAGTTTGTTGTTGTTGTTTTAAAAATAAGCACAAAACCACAGACACACACACCCTATCCGGAAGATTAAGGAAGAATGCAGTTTGTGATTTGGTGTGAATTACAGTTTGACATTTTCATTTGTTGTTGTGCGCAGACGGACGTGCCATCCTGCACCGCGTTATTGTTGAAGACTCAGACAGGTGTATCCGCTTGCCTCGGGCGATGATGATGATGATGATGAGGAGGATGACAATGACCAGACTGATGACAGCATTCCTGGCAGCTACCAGCTCTTATCAGATCCGGATGTTCTTTTCCATTTGTCAATTTGGAGATCGCTGTGATCAGTCTTCCTCCTAACAGCTCAGGCCTGCTGCTTTCACCTCAGGATGAGCCTGATAAAGCCTCCATTAAGCTGCTCTGTGTGCCATTTACGTAAATGTAAACGTTTCCAGGCCTGTCTCAGGTGGCTGACACTGTCACATGAAATAAAGCCAAACAAATCATATTTTTGTGTGCAGCTCTGAGCTTTGAAAGTCACACATTGCCGCCGCTTCTCTTCCTTGAAATGCTGTGTCATGTTAGCATAACGAATAATACTCTGGTGTGTTCAGTCTTTTTGTTGGGATTCTTCCTTCAAATCTGAAATGGTTAATATCCTACAGTTCAACAAACCCACATTTCAAAGTTGGCAGTTTTAGGTCAGCAGCAAAGCTGGGGTAAAAAAGCAAAGCTTTAAAGCTTAAGTAAAATATTAAAATAAATCTCTAAATCTGTTCTCAATCCTGCTTGTAAAACACGCAGCGATTGCCAAATTTACTGCTCTGCAGGGGACAAAACGAAAAAAAAAATGCAAGATTTGAGGTCAATATGATGACTGCCAACCAAACTCTTTCTGACATGAACGTGGGGCGATCGTGGCTCAAGAGTTGGGCGTTCGCCTTGTAATCGGAAGGTTGCCGGTTCGAGCCCCAGCTTGGACAGTCTCGGTCGTTGTGTCCTTGGGCAAGACACTTCACCCGTTGCCTACTGGTGGTGGTCAGAGGGCCCGGTGGCGCCAGTGTCCGGCAGCCTCGCCTCTGTCAGGGCGCCCCAGGGTGGCTGTGGCTACAATGTAGCTTGCCATCACCAGTGTGTGAATGGGTGGATGACTGGATATGTAAAGCGCTTTGGGGTCCTTAGGGACTAGTAAAGCGCTATACAAATACAGGCCATTTACCATTTATATGAACGGAAGCTGGTTTACCTGATTTTATTTTATAAATATTAACACAGAAACAACATTACCTCTCAAAGTGATTAACGGACATAATGCAATTGCAAAGCTCAAGCACCGGAGCCCTGTTGGCGGATGGGCGCATGCAACTCACTGGTACCCTGCTTTGTCTCACTCATTTAACCCTTCTTTTACATAATTGGAGCAGACTGCTTACTGAGGCCTGCATTCCCTGTGTTATGTTCAACTAAAGCCAGTATTGTTGTAGTAAACAGGAAGCAGGTGGGTCAGGTGCTTTGCACAGTCGTCTCCTGCGGAAGCGTATTGATCACAAAGCCGGTTTTTCAGGTTTGCACAACGGCACGATGAATGAAGTGGAAGCACCCATACAACACCGCAACAAACAAACCAAAACCAAAATAAAAAAAAACGGGTGGAGTAGTCACGCATGGAATGCGATTAAGGGTTATCAGATGTCTCGTAAGATAAGGATTAAATTTCAGGTAAATACCCACAAGGCGCCACTTTGAGCAAAATGTGCATAAATGTTTTATTGGGTCGTTTGTCCTCATTTTAGACCTTTTAATTAAAATGATAGAACATCGTTTAAGCTCAAAGAACAGATAAATCACTGTCAACTACCTTTTAATGACCTACAAGCACCATTATGTCACATTCAACTCAAATATAGGTTAGTAATTAGTTATTCGGGGGAGGGGGTGATGCATCATACAGCAGCACATACAGCCAATCAATGGAGCCCACCCCCAGCTGCAGAAAAAGAGGCAGGATAATAACTGATTATTGATTTGGTTTTAAATGAGAACAAATGGCCCCAGAGGCCATGGCCCTCTTAATAATAGGTCCCCCCTCCCTTTTTTTGGGGGGGGGGGAAGGTTTCCACCAACCTAATCTGGCAAAGATGGAATTCCATCCCGGCTTCAGGCATAGCCATGGACTCCACTCTGCTAAAGAGGGGGTCAAATACACAAGGACCTATTGTTTACTGAAGATGAGAGTAGCCTCCACTCTACTCCCACTCCACCACCCCCATCACATCCACATCATCACTGCAGAACAGCCAACAATGAACAGTGAGAGAGAGAGACATCACTTCTCCCTCTCATCCCGGTCTTCTACAGCCTTGCCAATGTCTAAATGCCAGGGCAGCTTACCCACGAGGAAAGCCCAGAGCCAAACTAGTGTTTTCAAAGATCACACAAGCTCAGGAGCTCTGGATGCATCCCATTAAGATAAGACAAATTGCTGGATGAGCGCAGCTGAGACTGTCTATGTTCGACCAAAAAGGACGGACATAACAACAGTGTGAAAGGACGAGATAACAATGCTTAATCTGTGCTGAAAACCCCAGGCACGCTGAATTTTTGTTTTTGTGCCTTTGAAAAATATCCTCTAATACCAAATTCCATAAATGAAAGCCTCCAAATACATTCAATGCTCCATCTGTGCATTCCCGATGCCGCCCATCACTATTCCGAGTCAAAGGCAAAGTTTAAGCTTCAAAACCCTCTGAGAGTCAGTGTTACAGTAGCAGAAAGCGCATACTGGTAGCTACTCTCTCCTGCTTTGAGATTTAGAGGAGTGGCCATACTGGCCGGGGATATTTAAGACGGTTACCATGCTGGCAAGTCTCTTTGAGGCCTTTGTGTTCCCCTCTCAGCTCCTTTGGCTGGGCAGGGAGGTTGACACCTGCTTGGGGCCTTGGGGTTCCCAGCACTGTGCTGTTAAATGGGCACTAATATTGGCAGGCGGCCCACTGAGAACAGAGAGGCAGAAACAGAAGCTGAGCATATCTGCAGTGTGAACTTTGAATGTCTGAGCAAAAGTAAAAGGAGAAGAAATAACCAATTAAAGTCAGTTTAAATGAAAGTAAAATGTATGTTTGCACTTCTTTTAAAGGACCAAAGATGTGTAATCTTATTTAGCTGATTTATTCCGTTTCTTATTTTGCTTAACCCAATCACTTGAGGAAAACAAGCTGCAAGTTTTTGTTTTTTTAATTTGTGTGTTTAAAGTGAACATTTAAAAACTGCAGTTCCTCAAGGAGCCACTCAAACACTGCTGCAGTAGTGAGTCAATCTCTATACACTCCAATGTTAAAAGTAGTCAACATTTTTTGTCTGTAGAGCAACTTTTTGCATTGACAAAAAGTAATGCATGTAGACGTCCGCTATCAATGGGTATGTTAACAGAAGAAATTTTTTTTACTGCCATAGTTTTGTGAGTTACTCACTCAGTGATTGTGAGCGATAGATTCTGTTGTGATCCGTGTCTGAGGTGGAGCTGAGTCAGCAAAGACCCTGACTCATCCTTCGTGATCGATTTGGAAGAACAGGCTGACATCTAACTCTCTAATGAAACGGTAGGCCGACTTGTCACGTAGCCACACATGGCAGCTTTGCCACTTGCCGCTTCATTTCCAATGCAGAGAGTGCAGACAAGAGGCTCCGCATCCTGTGAGCAGAGAGTGGGGCAAAGATTCAGAGCGCAGTCGAGGGTGACGTGAGGGAATTGGACATTCAGTGCCTGCCAACAGCTCCAACTCCTCACTTCTTTTTCCCCTCTTTGCTGGATCTATTTCCATGCACTCACCCATCATCAGCATCAATGCACAGAGATGCTCTTCTTCCTTTGCCGCAGGACGTCAAGAGCCTGCAACTCATTTCTGCTCCGTTTGATGCCATTACACCAATGTGCCTAACCACGCACAAAAACTGTGTAATGGGAAATGTGCTCTAAGTAGCTCATTTTGTGGGGAGAATGTCTTTTTTCAGGATTCAGTATAACGCCCCATCTCACAACAGTAAAGAATCCTTCCAATAATTTCTGGACCCAGATCACTTCTAACATGGGCCAATCTCCAACTCCAATACTCAAAAAGCTGTGGACTCCAGTCCACAACTTTTCGAGTAATGCCACTAACAGACAGTGAAACAAACAGAACAAACCAATCACAAACCCTTCTTGGCAGACGTAATCAGCAGAACCATCTGTACAGTATCCACCCAGCTGTGGGAATAATGATAACGCAGCACTAAGAGTGCATGATAACGAGGCAGCTTTGCACAGGGCTTGCTAATAGACCTGCCCTATCATTTTATGTCATCTGGTAACAATGGGATGATCGTAGAAGAGACGTTATTGTGCATTGTTGTGAGGATGTCCTCATTAAAGCAATGGGTGATGTCTTCAACAAGTCACAGTTCTCACAATTTGCATTCCAATCTTTCGTCATTTTTTTAGATTAAACCGCATCGGTGACCTATCAGCTCACCACGCATTATCCTTCACATATTATTGCACATGAAATGACTAATGTGACCTTGACCTTAAGCTTGAGCGAAGAACCATTAAATTATCACTGGGTGCAAGTTTGATTAAAGTCTATTCAAT